TGCAAACAAGAGGTGTTGATGTAGAAAGAATACCTTATGAGGAGGGATGCCCAGCAGAGTACCCAGTTCATCAAAACTATAACAAATAGATAATGAATATCACCGAGATTAGTCAGAGACTTCACACCCAAAATAGGATAGAAATTAGAACAAAATTTAAAAGCATCTCAATTCCAACCTTATGTTTGTATAAAGCTTGCTTGCACTCAAAAGATTATGCTCAATCATGGCTCGGTCCAGCACAGTAAAATTGTCAGGAAGAAGTGCTTGCTGTTGAGAATTAAGAGTTGAAAATTAGCATTATGATTAACAACCCAAGTGAAAGATCATTCATTCTTCTGATGGCCGAGAATTACTTATTACTGTAAATGCAACACCTAAGGTAAAGGGGGAAAGTTTGCACACCTGATGTGGCTTCAATTCCTCAGCAAATGCATCAATTTCTGGCTTTCTTAATATTCTCTCCAGATATACCTGTTGATTTCAATATTAGAATCCCCATCAGCATAGGATTTATAAGGTTACAGAAAAGACATTAGACAAAAAACTAAGTTAAAATCAATGCTAGTAAAATGCACTCTCATGCATGCACACAATGGCATAAGAGGGATAGATAGATAGATAGATAGACAGAGAAAGAGAGAGAGAGAGAACCTTTTGCAATATTGGATAAATTTTCAATTTTGAGCAACGTTCATCCTGAATTACGTCCAGCACATCAGCAGTCCATCCATATTTGAATTGAATCAATAAATTAAAATTTTCATATTATCTCTATCAAGAGAGAGTGTTTACTTTGTAAAGAGTGGCAAGGACACGAGAGCGTTGAGGACCTGCTCCAGCTAATATTGTACATGTCACAGCAGCAGATAGAGCTTGCTCCAGTGCATCCTCATCTATTGTTCTGTAATATACGATCATCATTATTTGTATCAAAAAGCCCCGAAGATATCAATCATTCAAAATTAGAGAAAACTGGGAAGGTCCATTTAAAAGTTAGAAACCACACAAGCCAGAAGCTCAGGCAGGCATTTCATACCCATCTGACCCTTATGACCCAAGAGAAGCTGAAACAAAAGCATCAACCATGGGAGTTTGAAAAATAATTTTTTTAGCTACTGGAAGGATTTGGGAGGAAAAGGCTGTGGTGGGAAAGAATGATGATCCCAAATATATCATGTAAATACTTAGGCAGACATTCAAGTCTTACACGTTATCTACAAAGTCAAGACGCTTCCATTTAGATTTACTAATAATTATATTTCCAATATGGAAATACAAGAGCAATAGAAGAACACATACTCATCACCTATTTGCCGCTTCTCAATTTGAGATATGTCATAGTACCGTAATGCTGCTTCCAAGAATTTTCTCTTTAAATCTAAAACCCTTGCATAACAGACCTGACATGAAGAAAAATAAATAACACAGACTAAGAAATGACTAAAAGAAAGCGGTCTCCAACACGGTCATTGCTGACCACAAAGCAAGACCAAACCTTGTATTGCAAAATCAACACTTCATGCTGACTGTTGCTAACCAAGAATGAAGCCTTATTAATAAAAGCTTCTGCATTAACAGCATCATCATCCTGCAAAAATATGAAATTCCAGCAAGGTTTTGCTAGTTAGCAAACAAATATGTAAGTTATAGTTCAAACTTTTGCCCCATCCCCCCAAAAAAGGCCCAACACAAAACAGATATAGAAAGAGCCAACTGACACAAAAGATGAGTTCAAACATCCTGACTCTTGGGTGGTTACCCTTTTTCAAAAGCCAACTTAGCCCCTTCGCAATTCACATAATACAGAACATGTCAATACCTCAAGATATAGACGGGCAATTTGAACGCATTTAGACAATTTGTATGTATCATCAACGACCCTGATGAACATTCACAAAACATTAAAGTGCCATGATGAGGTGAAGCATCCCAGCCTAAAAATGTAAAAAAAGAACCCCATGGTCAGACCTCATTCCAGAGTCTAAATCAATCCCGCTTAGCATTTGAGCTGCTTTTGACCACTGCTGTTCCGACTCATATAACTCAGCAAGTTTCTCTCTGATAATCAACACCTGAAAATCATAAGAATAAAACATCTTGATCTCAACAGCTACAAATTATCCAATAAGCCAATTGTGAGCCCATCTTAAGTGACCAGATGGCGAACATAGAACTTTGTACATAAGTGCAGCAAATCCACTCAACTTATCATTAAAGAAAGAAGAAGTTCATGAACAAATAAGGACAGTGAAGTCTCAATAACCCCATATCCGAAGTACGCTAGCTAAGGAAAAGGCACAACAATGTAGCACCGTCTGTAACATCCAACAGCGACTCAAACCTAGCTTAAAATATAGTAAAACCATCAATGACGAACCTGTTCTTCGAAGGAAACAACACGAGACTGAATCTGAGTTAGGGCATAATGAGCAATCTCCTTTTGTGCCTCCGGCTGCAATCTCCCCAACTCCTGCGCAAAAGTCTGCAAAAGCTGCCTCGACACAACCAGAGGAACATCATCCGATAACACTGAAAACAACACATAAATCAAAACAATTAGGTTATGATTTCGAAAACCCTAAAACCCACATAATTGAAGCAAGAAGAAGCAGTTACTGTGATCAATGAATTTTTCGGCTTGAACTATGTCGCTTGATGAGAAAACCGTGGAGAGAATGTGCTTGTACTGTTCGATTTTCTGCCTCTGGTCTGCGATCGCAGAGGCGCTAGCTAATGCACCCTCCATTGAATTGCTTCAGAGCACAGAAATCCAAAAACCCCCAGACCCTACCCCTTTCGAAAGATTAGGGAAATCGGAATTTCACGGTATTGGGTTTTCCCTTTCCCGGTGACTCTTAGTAGCTTTTATACGGCGGGTGAACTCGCTCTCTGCTGCAGTTCCGATAGCAGCGAATCATTGAGTGACACGTCACTAAAAGAGGGTACTTTCGTCATTTATAAAGTTTACAATTATTTTTTTTTTCTCTCAATAACGAAACCGGAAATCGCAGCTCTTTTGCTAATTCCGAGTCTCTTCTCTTCCGTCTCGATCCAACCGCCGTCGCCGCCATCGACGTCGACGTGAACCTCACCTGCATCCATATCTAGGTAGGCGTTTCAGTCTTTCTCTTTTCCGGTGAAATCTTTGTTTCATTGAAGTCAGCTCTTTCTTCAGTTAAATGAGAAAATTATGGATTAATTTGATAATCATGCAGCGCCTAGGGTTTTAGAGATATGAACTGGATTCAACGTAAGATCTATCTCTACAATGTCACTTTTGGACTCTATATGTTGGATTGGTGGGAGCGCTACCTTTTCAGTATCCTTTTCTGCAGCTAGATCTGTCTGCTTTCTTCAAATTCTTGATACTGCATTTTGTTGACAAAATTGTTTGTTTTCAAGATCCTTTATGGTACATAAAGTGCTTACTTGTTTACATGTAGTGATAGATGGGAAGTAACGAAATGAAGTTTGCTTAATTGTATCATCTTAACCCATTTGACATCTACCCAACAAGAGAATGAAGCATGGAGATTTTGTTGGTTTCCTATGGTAGAATGGTGTTGATGTTATGATATAATATTGAGCTATCCTGTTTATAGACTTTTGAGATCAGGTATATCAGCATGAATTTAAGTTTTAATTTCTTTTATAGTATGTTTGGTTTGAGGGAAATAAAGGGGAGGGAAGGGAAGGGATGGGTTTTTTGACTAATCAGATTGCGATGTTCAAAAACGTTATAATTTGATTGGTTAAAAAACTCACCCCTCCACTCCCTTCTAACCAAACATACTTAGATTTTTAGGATTACCATTTCATTCTGAGAATTTAATAGGAAGTTAGGTATCCCAGTGGTTTTAAATCCTTTGCTGCCACTATTTTAAGTTTCTAATATCATATTGGCGATCAGATTTTAGATTTCTATATGCTGTTGTGAGTTGGATATTGTTGCACTTGTGAGTTGTGAGTTCCTAAATTTTGTCAGATACTTTGGTGATCATGTTGATGTGGTTCATTTTCTACAACAGCTCCCGATATGTTACTGAATTTTGCAAGAGGTGGCTCCTTTACCTCAATATCTGGTTTATTTCTTGGAATTCTTTTGGTGATGCTTTGGAAGTCATCTTGAATAACAAGAATTGTCATTTAGATTGCATTGACCTTGCTCATCTTTATTAATATCCTGTCTTGCAATTGTTGTATGTGTTGACAATATTTGTTGGTTATTGTAGGACAACATATTTTATTTCTGGACATTTAATCATGTACTTGGTTTTGCCCAGAAAATGTGTTAATTGTTAAATCACACGGAATACTCTTTCAGGAAGAAAAATATTTTAGAAAGGAAGGAAAAAGAACAATGCCAGAAATATCAAATACTTTTCATAACTTAACTGGTATTATAGAAGATGACACTCAGGACTCACACATCCATGCTTATACCTTTATAATGCAGCTATGCAGGCCTTACTTTCAAGCAAAGTGAACACACTTTCAACAGTTTTGGTGATGCTACTTAAGGTATTGGAATAGTTTTTTCAAATTCTCCAATTAACTCTCAGAACAAACCTATCAATATCATTAGTTGCTCAATTACTTTAATGAGGAACAACTAGAGGCTTGTATTTGTACAAAAATGGATTGAAAAACCACCAAGGATGGGCCCAGGAGATGCTGCTATGTCTATCTATGTTCCCTAGCTGTTCGTGCTATCTTGTCTTGTTAGAATACATGATCCTATCCCATAATGCTGAGTTTATTCCTATCATATATTAAAATGTTCATTATTTTGACAGAAATTATCTAGTAGGCATCTTTACATCAAAATCATGATGGTTCTACATGTCCTTGTTAGCTAGTGCACATTATTTTTGTCTTGATGATAGTGGTACAAGTTTTATTTCATACTTCTTGTTTTCATTTCAGGCGTTTATCTTCAAAGATAGAAGCAGGCTTGCCTTGAAGGATCATAGTGAAGATTTTAGTATGAAGTAGTTTTCGATTGAAATTGTGTTTGTCAATATAATGTATATCATTCTCGTAAGGATTTATTGCCAGCATTTCAACTGCTGTTGTAGTAATTCTTGGCAGTTTACTAGCACAAACGAGCTTCTGTGCTTCACTTGTTTAGCACACTAGCTACCTTCTCATTTGCTAGAACCGATCTTTTTCCACCCTTAGGGCTCGTTTAGCAATGTTGTTGCTTTTGGTTTTTGTTTTTACTTTTTGACAGCTAACACTATATATAGTTATTGCTAAATACTTATATGAGAATTTTGTTTTATAATTTAAATTGTATTAAATTGTAAAATAAATCATTAAATGGAGGATCTTTAGTATCAGAAAGCTCATTTTCATTCAATAATTAATCTAATACAATTTGATATAGTTTGAAATATATTATACTTTTTGTTCTTATATGTAGTATTAGTTAATAGTAACGAACTATTAGTCCGAATGGAAAAAGTTTGGTTTTCTTTAAGTAGGATATTAAACTCGAGTCTTATGAATGGAGAAGCAGATATTTTGAGAGTTTCTTTTCTAATGAGTTTAATACGATTTAATTTCAAATTAATTAAAATTTAATATGATTATCGAATATTGAAATATTAATATCAAAAATATATATGTATATATAGTATTAGTTAACAAAATTTTTTTATAAAAATTACCGCATCAAAATTTTTAGAATTCCAGGCTAGAATACTTTTTAAAAATAAAAATAAACATTAGGCAAATTTATTTCATGCATTGATGGTGGGGAGAATGGGAGGAACCAAACGGTTGGTATACGTACTAACAACCTAGGATGATCAACCCACCAAGGTGGAGTGGCTATTGTCGTTCCACCTGGAGCGAGGGGATCTCGCCAGCTTAGAATAGCTGGGGTTCAGAACATCACATCCTCCCATTAGCGAAAAGAGAAATTGACAGCTTGATAGTTATTTAAAAAATTGAAGTTTATTAGAGGTCCAACTTGCAAACCAGATTTGACCCTAATGAGAAGAGACGTCATATATTAGATATTTTAAAGATAAAATTTTATTCGTCGGTAATTAATTTAAGTTTGATGCTTTTATTTTTTTTTAAACATTTTTTTTAATTTAAGTTCCACAGGCTCGAATTATTATTTTTGGAGGGGATATAAACCTTAGAAGAGTGGTTAGAGTCACTTGGTCATCTGAGCCAAGTTTAAGTTTGATGCTTTTATAAATTAATTAAAAATGAGATTTGTATTTTTTAAGTTAGCAACTAAAATCACTGAAACACTATTTATAAATTAATATATAAAGTAGTTTTTATTAAGGGAATGTTTGTTTAAACGCCAAAATATTGAGAAAGTGATTAAAGAGATATTGTACCAAAAGTTAAAAAAAGTATTGCATAAAAAATTAATAAGTTTTATAATAAATTTTCATTAGAATTTTGTTGAATTATTAATTTTTTATATTTAAAAATAAATTAATATAAAAAATTTTAAAAAATTTGTTAAGTAAGTTTTATATAAAAAAATAACGTAACTTTTTTCTTTAAAAAGGTATAAGAATTAAAGTTTATTACTGTAAAATTGTGTCAACAAAATTAAAAATGAAAAATGTCCTTTGGCTGTCATTTTTGTTGTAGTGTTGATGTTCAAAAGTATGTAAATAACAAAAAAAGTTTGGAGAAGTTCCCCTCACCAAACAGCCTCTGAGGGTATTTTAATTAATTTACGTGGAAGTCTAACCTAAAAGGCATTTTTTTTGTAGTGAATTATTTGATATAACGATTTAAAATTAATAATTAATGATTTATTTAATTTAATAATTTAAATTTATTATTATTAATAATTCAAACATTCTTATTTATCAAATTAAATAAAATTACTGACAATTAATTTTAAACCACTTTACACCAAAAAACCGGCCCTTATTAATAATACCTGCCAAAAATAAAATTATCAGCTTTCTGCTCGGCGCTCACCGCCCAACCAATAGAAAGGAGGGCTGAGTGCAATGGCGTGTGAGAAGAAAAATCGGGAGTACTTGTATCATTTCCCTCCAGCTAAAATAAAGCTTAAGCACTTGAGCTTTAAAAGGTTGTTGATTTTACGCCTCTAACCTGAAAAACCATCATTTAAGCTCTCAAACTACACGAACACATCAAGTTAACCCCTCATTAACAGCAAAGTAGCGGATTTCCTAACGAATGGTTTCACTATTACTAATTATATCATGTTTTAAATACATAGTAATATTGACGAGACTTTAAATATATGTAAAAGTTGAGTTGATATTAATAATTCATATAATATTAAAAAAAAAACGAATGGCATCCAATTCAAAGATATTCTAAAAAACTCCTAAATTACACAATAACAAACTTACATATTAGAGGCTTGTAAGTAAAGCCCTAGTTTTACATTTTAGGAAATTTTCAAATTACTTTTGAATTGGTCCTCATTCATTTGCCCATTTTTTTACCATTATACAAGTCATAAATGCCAACCCAATATCTACATGTGTCTAAAGGCCTACCATTAATGCTATGAATCGTCTAGTTAGCATCAAGGAACAACCTTATAAATGGAATGACATCCGCTGTTCTGCTATTAATGAGGGGCTAATATGATGCATTCTTGTGGTTTGAGCCCTTGAATGATGTTTTTTTAGTTTGAAGGCTTAAAATTGACAACCTCTAAAAGTTTGAGGGCTTAAGCTTCATTTCAGCCTTTCCCCTCCCATAATTGGCAATAGCACCCCTGTGTTTCACTTTCCACCCGATCGCTTATTGTCTGCTGAAATTTTCGTTCTGAAAACAGAAACTGAAAAGGAAGATATCGAGATCCTTATCATTACGAGCACCGCACCGAAATGGATAGCGCCGGTTAGTTCCGACGACTTTTGCTTATATTGTCTTCGCTTTCGATTTCTGGCGTTGCGTTTATGGTGGTTTATACTTGTCTTTAGAACAATTCATCTGTTTCTTCATTTCTTGGTGTCCTGTTTGGTTGCTGCGAAAATCGGTGAAATGAAGAAAAGAAACTGAACTAGAAAGCTTGAAAAAGTTTTTTCGACTTCTCTGTTACTGATTTCTCAGCAACCAAACGGATTTCTCCTTCTATAGAAGTATATGGATGCAGTTTTCTTGATGCAATCATTGTTACCTTGGATTTATGGCGCGTATAGATTTGTTCTACTTTGCTTGTTCATGAAACTGATCTATGGCAGTGATGCGGTTGAAAGGTTGTTTGAATGTTCTGGAATGCATAAACTGCTAGATACTTGTTCTAGCTATCTATTGATTGATTGAAAGAGTAGGATTATTTTTGAGTTTTGAGTTAGATTTTTATCATAAACATTTCGATTATTTTATCTGTGGAGACAAGAGTAGGATGGATTTTGGTAACAATTTCCTTGGCTGATTCGCTGTACTTAATTAAAAACTGAGCAGGCAATCCACAAGATGTTCTTGTACCACCAGTTGAAGGTGTTGCCGGAGGAGGGACAGCTTATGGATGGAGTGATGGTGGTATAGATAGCTCAACTCGGCTGAGGGGTTCAATTGATCCCAGAGAGGTTCCCACTGAAGATTTAGTGCATGTGTGGTGCCTGCCAAGCACAGCAAATGTTGGAGCACAAGAAATGCCCAGACCTCTGGAGCCTGTAAGGCATCAATACCTTATTGTCTGTTTACTTTCTGCTACTAAAAAAAAAAATGTATGGTAGACACAATTCCTTGTTCAAGGTATAGGTCTGGACATCATGCTTTTAACTTTTTCCTTAATTAAGTAGGTTTGCTGCCAATTTGAGTCATGAGGTGAATTAGATGTTCTTGAGTGGCTATATTGCGCTGACTTATAATGATTCTGTTATCTTGAAAGATAAATCTTCTTGCGGCTAGAAATGAGAGGGAGAGTGTTCAAATTGCTATCCGTCCAAAAGTCTCCTGGGGTGGTTCTGGTATTGCAGGGTTTGTGCAGGTTCAATGTACTGACTTGTGTTCCACATCTGGTGATCGGTTAGTTTCTTGAAGATTCCATATTCTTGGTACATGGTCATTGTTTATGATATTTTGCTGATATTGACCATGAACAGGTTGCTTGTTGGTCAATCATTAAAATTGCGACGCGTGGCTCCTATTTTAGGTGTACCTGATGCTCTTGTACCTCTTGATCATCCAATTAGTCAAATAAGCCTACAACCTGGGTACTGCTCTTCTAAATCATTTTCTCAGAGTGTGTTTTGGTGGTTTGAAGAAACCTGGGATGACCTCTTCTTGACTGAGACTGAGATTTTTTTTTTTTTTTTGGATTCTTGGCCCTGCTACAGGGAAACAACTGCTGTTTGGGTTTCAATAGATGTTCCAAGCGAACAGCTGCCAGGTCTATATGAAGGAGAGATCATCATTACTGCCATGAAGTCAGATGCAGGGTAACAACCTTAATCTGTGAACAGTGGCTGTCCAAAGTTGGTGTTATCCTGTTACCATGGACTTTTTGAATGATTAGATTATTTTTTAGATGACATTCTTTTATATACATAATTGTTAGTTAAGCAAGGGTTCTCCACACTGATTCTAGCTCCTCACAGATCCTCAACACAACAATGCCTGGGCAGAACTGAGAAGCATCAATTATACATGGAACTTCGGAACTGTCTTGACATTGTGGAGCCCATTGAGGGTAAACCATTGGATGAAATGGTGATTGCCTAAATCTTTTTCTTGTTCAGTTTCTTTTAGATTACTTTTTCTCCTTTTTTCAAGTTGTTTATATGAATAATTTCTTTTTAGGTAGAAAGAGTGAAATCTGCAACTACATCTTTAAGAAGAGTTCTTCTTTCTCCATCATTTTCTGAGTTCTTTTCAGATAATGTGCCAGTTGATATGATGGATGAAGATGCCATATCAAACCTTTCAGTACGGGTGAAGCTTTGTTTGACGGTTTGGGACTTCATCCTTCCTGCAACTCCATCGCTACCTGCTGTATTTGGTGTATCCTGTGACTTTGTTAAGTCTACTCTTTCTGTATTGATAATTTGAGTGGAGTTGTCACCATTGTGACTGAGATTGTGGACTGCTAAGACATCCAATTCTTAAAATAGCCTTGCAGAATGATTTGTTTTGGATGTTTCAGAATGCTTTCTGACATTTTATGGGTATTTTTTTTCACTTTGACCAGATTTTTTTGGCATTTCCTTCTTTAACCATAAACTAGATATCTGATACTGTAATTGAGGATCGTTTGGGTGTTGAACATGGTAGTGATGAGTGGTATGAGGCATTGGATCAACATTTCAAGTGGCTTCTTCAATACAGGATCAGCCCCTATTTTTGCAGATGGGGTGATAGCATGCGTGTTTTGACATACACGTCTCCCTGGCCAGGTGACTTTGAAACTTATAAAGTGTATTTATTGTTATCTACTACTGTTGCAGTATTGATTGAATCTAGCTCCTCACTTTTTTCCTCTTCTGCTACTTCAGCTGATCATCCAAAATCAGACGAATATTTATCTGACCCACGAGTAACAGCATATGCTGTCCCATATACTCCAGCAGTTTCCAGGTATACGGTCACAGTTGCTTCCCTGGGATATTTTAGTGATAAAAAAACTGATGAATAACTGATGGCTTGTTCATGTGCAACAGTAATGTTGCAGCAAGGGATTACTTGCAGAAAGAAGTTGAGATCTTGAGGACAAAGCCTCATTGGAAGAAAGCTTATTTCTATTTATGGGATGAGGTCTGATTCATGTTCCAGTTGGTAAAAAACTAGTGGTTCTGTTTCAAGTTTAACCATTGACCATTGAGACTTGCATGTCAGGATGTTGATATGTTGTCTCGGCATTATCATTCTGTCCCACCTGGACACTCTACTACTTTGACTTATTGTATCTTTTACACTTCACTTGAGATGCATTAAATTTTCTGTCAGTTGTTATTTCCACCCATATGCATTATTGCTTATTGGCATCATTCCTGATCACTAATAGTTGGCATCATGTAAAGATCTTGACACTGATGATGACTCATAATACCTTCTGCAGCCACTGAACAAGGAACATTATGAATCTGTTCGCTACATGGCAAGTGAGATTCATGCTTATGCTCCTGATGCTCGTATCTTGACTACATACTATTGTGGTATGATTTATCTTGTCTTCTTCATTTAATGTTCTTTGTTTATATGCTCCTGCTGTTCATGTTTAAACTTTTTACAATTGTGGTATAGCTTCACTGCCTTTCTTTGTCTGACATTTTCTCATAGCGTACTGGCTATTTCTATTTCTTTCAATTTAGACTAGCTTAATTGATTTATTTGTTTTCCTCTTATGCCATCCTGTTGAAGCTTGCAGCCATTGTTGCTTTTCAAATATTGCATAAATGTTTGTGCTTTTAAAAGTCTTCTGTTGAATTTGTATGTCTTCTAAATTCTTATGAGGACTATCTTTTAAAAAGTTCCAAACCTTTTTTATTTTTTTGGTCAGGAACAAATGAATGGAGTTTGGTTGTGTCTAGAGCATAAAATCTCAATTATACTGTATAGTTTATGTTATCTCTGTTACTACTATTCTAACTGTGTGATCAAAGGAATCTTTCTGGAGACCTCAAATCCGATTTGTGTTGATTGATCTCTAAGCCAGTGTGGGATCAGATGTCTACTGTTGAGTATCAGAAAATAAAATTTCTTGGATATATCTTTCATATGGATGCACTTTCTTTTTTCCACAACACTTAAGAGGCTCTTCATTTGACTCTGTGGCTCAGTTCATAGATTCCAAAATTTTGTGAGCCATTTTAAACCCATAGAAGCAAAAAGTATTGTCACAATGTTATAAAAATGTCACATTGTAAGCATATCCTTTGCTGATAGATTGCCATTTTTTTTTTTTTTTTATGTAGGACCAAGTGATGCACCTCTTGCCCCTACTCCTTTTGAGGCTTTTGTTAAAGTCCCAAAGTTCCTGCGCCCTCATACTCAAATATATTGTACAAGGTATTTCTTGTTGATAGTCTTCTAAAAGCCACTTTAAGATTTTTTTAGCAATTCGTATTTTACATCCTTCTTCAAGTTGATTTTTGTATAACAGACCTGTTGCTGAAACTAGAACTTTGAATGTATTACTTCATTTAGTGTTTTTTTTCTTCTTCTTCTTCTTCTTCTTTTCTTTTCTTTTTTTTTTTTTTTCTTCCTTTTTTTGGGAATATCAACTGGCCTTCACATGTTAGGTGCATGAGACAGCAAGAGTCAGCTTCATTTTGCATTGTCTTTTGACATACAGCAAATTTCTCAAGAAGTTATATTTTCTATTTATCTGTTGCAATCAAATGAAATTAACTCTTGTTGAACTTCTACTTCAAAAGTCAAGTGATATTGTTGACAATAATGTATTCAATAGCATCTGTAACAAGGTAGAATTTGTTTCTCTTTGCAGTGAGTGGGTGTTTGGTAATAGAGAGGATCTGGTAAAAGATGTGATTGGTGAATTGCAGCCAGAAAATGGTGAGGTAATGTTAAATCGAAGTATAATGCATGGAGTTTATCAAGTTATTCCTTTTCCATATTTCATTCTGATGGTGCTTTGTACTGAATAGTGACGTTTTGCTCTCATATGAAACCTTACATCTGTATGTTACTTCCCCTATGAGCATTATGAAAGCTTATGCTGAGGGAGAATATGCTGTACTTGTAGGAATGGTGGACATATGTATGCATGGGACCATCTGATCCCCATCCAAATTGGCATCTTGGGATGCGTGGAACACAGCACCGTGCTGTTATGTGGCGTGTGTGGAAAGAAGGTGGGACTGGTTTTCTATATTGGGGTGCCAACTGCTATGAGAAGGCAACAGTTCCCAGTGCAGAGGTATGCACCTGGCATCCAAGCCTCTTCAAATTTGAGATTCATAACGGACAAAGTTTCCTATGTCGGAAAAGATCTCAACTCTACTTTTATACAGATAAGATTTAGGCGGGGCCTTCCCCCAGGTGACGGAGTTTTGTACTATCCTGGAGAAGTGTTCTCATCATCACGCGAACTTGTTGCTTCAGTTAGACTAGAGCGCATCCTCAGTGGCTTGCAGGTCAGTAACTTCTGACTTTGCCCCACTTTTGTTACATTATTCAGGTTTTATTCATGCCGTGCTTGTTGCCATCTCCTTAATCATTAGTCTTGAGTCTAATGTACATCTACCCGCTTCAACACCAAAGGATAAGGAAGAAAGAGTTCTAGTCTGCTGTAATTTCCAATATTGCTAGTGAAAGCTTAATTTCGTTTCCCAAATGATTTTTGGAGTTTTAAATATTCCTGGCTCTTAAGCTCAAAACCAAAGTCTCTCTGGGTTTAATAACATAAACGGTCTATAGCTTAGGGAAAAAATTGAGAGAACAAATTAAAAGCTGATAGGTTTTAGTTAGACTTTGTTCATCCAGGTGGTTACTTATCAGTATATTTGTTATCTCGTGTCGTAGGACATCGAATATCTGAGGCTCTTTGCTTCCAGATATGGTAGGGATGAAGGGCTTGCTCTTCTGCAGAAGACAGGTGTATATCTAGGTCCTGAGCGTTACACACTTGATCACACGCCAATTGATGTCATGCGGGGTGAGATCTTCAACTCTTGCAGACCATGAATGCTTGTTGTCTCTAATTTGTTTCCCCCCCTTTCTTTTTTTCTTTATACTTTTTTCTTCTTCTTTTTTTTTTGTAATGTAGTATCAATTCATGCCATTCCAGTTTCTTAAATGTTTACACGGTAAAAAAAAAAAAACGAAAAACAAAAAACACAAAACCTCGAAGACTCATGAAGAGTGTTCGAATGTGTATGAAGCACATAACTAGGATCACATAAAAAAGATTCAAGATTGATCCGAATGGGCCAAATTCATTTGAATTCCTCCTAAACTGAAATGGTTGTTGCTAGGAGCCTTGAAGCAAATCTTTGATCAAATGTTATTAATACTTTAAGAAAAATTAAGTATAAGAATAAAAGAAATTTTTCACGGCCAAAAATGTTGAGCCTCTGGAGTTTTGTGACCAAGTTTGGACAATTCTCTCAATTCCTCTTGGCGTTTTATTAAGACTTTTCCAAAATCTATAAAGGAAGATTTTTCATTTGAAATTAAGTAATTTAGTGGTTATACGTTTTAAGAAAAATGTGTTAAAACATGAAATATTCAATTTTATACCCATTAAAAAAAAAAAATTGGGTTTCAAATCTAATGATTGTTTTTAAATTTTAATATTTAGGTTAAGTAACGATTTGAAATTTCTTCATTTTTCCTTAGTTATCCATGTTCGTAAAAAAAAAATCCGACTTTTTTGCTCACATAAATAAAGTACTTATAAGACTTTAGTGTTGGAATTGCAATGCAATAATAATTAAATTTAAGAATCTTCTATCAATATTAGGAGATTTTTTTAATTTAATAATTAATATTTTACCATTTAAATTGTAAATTACAAAACATTTATTCTATCTAGAATCTAACGAGTCTTGTTTGATATACTGTTCAAATAAATACTGCAATGTAGGGGGTATTTATTTAGGGGGGTATTTATTTAGGTTAATGTAAACAACCTTTTTTTATCCATTGTTTGTTCCTCTTCATTCGATTGCTTATTTCACAATTATTTTTGTTTTGATTTAAGGGAAGGGGGATGCACCCCACCTGAGCAGAACGGTTCACAGTAGTAGTAATTGCCATATTGTTTGGTGGGAATAAATAGATGGTCCTGGACATAGCTGTTGCGTAGATTTATAGAGCGGTAACAACTGGTCCGTAGCTTGAATACGACTAAAGAAACGTAACAAAACAAACATTGAGTGTTGATTTATAGGAGTAAATGTCATACGAGGCATTGCAGCATCTTTATTCCTGGTCGACCCACAATCCACATTATCGTGCTTCCCGCGTCACATTATCAGGGTTCTCGGTCTTAATAGATAGGCACACAACAGCGACACGGGAAGCCGTACAATGAAAACTCTCCTTATCTAATTTAAATTTAAAATTTTTAATTAAAAATCTTAAATTTTAAAATCAATTTAGACACTCTTTGAGGTTGGGAAGCGGTGTTGCTGATGATATTGACTACTCTTTTTTTTTTTTTTAATTAGTTTTTTTCCACTTCATTCAAGTCCCTCTCTTTCTTTCAATGTATCTGTCTCTCTCTAAGCAGACTAGACATGAAGCCGCCTTATACGACCTCCGTCGTGCTCCGATCATGGCTCCCCCACTGAGTTGACTCGGTGCTTCGTAACTTTCGTTTCGCTTCATTGAACGAAGATTGTAATCGAGTATAATTTTGTCGCTTTCTCACTATTTTTCCTCATTTTTCTAAGGAAGCAATCACGATCAAGAACTTAACCATTGTTTGCGGTAAATTGGCGTTTTATGTTGTATTTTAATTAGCTTAATCCAGCTTCGATCTGTCCTTATCCGAGTAGCTGCTTCGATTCTCCTGGTTTTTGTATCTCGGAGTTTAGGAACTGAAGAAGAAAGGAAACTGGAGGCGTGAGAAGTTCTGTTTGATTGAGATTTAAAGTGTACACGGAACATGATGGAGATGGAAAATTCATCCCCAATGACGGTTTCGGGAGAAGCTAGTGCGTCTTCCTCAGGTAATCAGATTCAAGCACCGCCGCCGAAAAAAAAGAGAAATCTTCCTGGGATGCCAGGTGATGTTTTTTTAAAACCTGAAGAACTCAAATTTTCAATCTTACTAACTTGATGAAACACTGAAAATGGATTTTCTGTTTGGTTCTTCTTTTCTTTTCTTTTTCTCTTTTTTTCTTTTTTTTGAATTTTTGATTTTTCAGATCCAGATGCTGAGGTTATAGCTTTATCTCCGGCAAGCCTACTAGCCACAAATCGGTTCGTGTGCGAGATCTGCAACAAAGGCTTTCAACGCGATCAGAACCTGCAACTCCACCGGCGGGGTCACAACTTGCCTTGGAAGCTTCGCCAAAGAACTAGCAAGGAAATCCGGAAGCGAGTCTATGTGTGCCCTGAGCCGACCTGCGTGCACCACAATCCCTCCCGTGCCCTTGGCGATCTCACCGGCATAAAGAAACACTTCTGCAGAAAACACGGCGAAAAGAAGTGGAAATGTGAGCGTTGCTCCAAGAAATACGCCGTGCAGTCGGATTGGAAGGCTCACATGAAGACTTGCGGCACCAGAGAGTACAAATGCGATTGCGGCACCATTTTTTCAAGGTTTGCAGCTCTCTTAACCATTTTTTCTTCTTTCTTCGCCTCCTCAATGTTTTTACGTTTATTACTAACACGTTTTTTACTTTTTTTTCTCATTTTCTGATGGTGCAGGAGAGATAGTTTTGTAACGCACCGGGCGTTTTGTGACGCTTTAGCGGAGGCGACGGCCAAAGCTAAACCGCTACCAATCAAGAGTGGTACTGCAGCCTATCAAGAAGATACAAAAACAACGGTGAAAAATACAGTCACCACCACAACATCACCGCCGCCTCTTACCCCATCATCTAGTGCAGTCTCTCCGGGTTTGTCAAACCAAAGTCCAGGTAATTTTCTTTTTATTATATATATAATATGGTTACAAAAGATTGTTGATTTTCCAGTCCCAGATCAAACAAACAAACAAACCATTGCCTATTTTTTTTAAAAAAGAAGGAACAAACAAACAAAGGCTCAGAGAATGGTGTTCTTCGATTTTTTTTTTTTTTTTTTTTTTTGAATAGAGAGATAATAAGTCAGGCAACACTGCCAAAATATTTCTGCATGTTGGTGGTAGGTTAGTGCAGACCAATGGCCTTAAATATGTTGATTGGGAGTGATATATTTGGAATGTAGACCCAAAAAAAAATAACAGTGTGGGAGTTTTATAGAAAGGTTGAGTTTTGTAAGCATGATCCTGATCTGGTAGATGGGATATGGTATTTGTAACATGGAAAAACTTTAGAAGATGGCGTAGTACAAATTGTCAATGATGATTCAGTGAGGGAGGTGTTGGAAATTATAAATGTTGTCAATGTTATCCACGTTTATATACTTCATATCCCTGACTTTGCACATGTAGAACAAGAAGTGCTTCTTTTACCAACTCCTGGTGATGATCAGAAGGAGGACAATGACAATGCTAGTGACAATGTCCAACTTAATATTACTGAGGAAAGTGTTGGCACTGATGATGGGGCTGTTGCTAACGTTACTAAGGAAGGTGTTAGTGTTGAAACTCATGATGGGGATGCTGTAAGTGATGATGGTGTCAGAGTTGAATCTGATGATGATGAGGAAGATCATATTATTAACGTTCCTAAGTTAACAAACAATGAAGATGAAAAGACGCTGCAAGCTAGAAAGAATGTCAAGTTTTTCAGCAACATTGAGGACAACATTGAGAAAGACCTTGAACCACCAACAGTTGATGTAAAGTATTCTGATGCACAGTATTCTGATGCACATACTACAAGTATTTGTTCTAAACTAACTACAATGAGTTTTGAGTTCTTCACTATGTGACTTTCTTTAATGGAGAATCTATATTATTTAGCAAGTTCTAGTGCTAGAGGACCAAGTCGACAACATTTGGATGAAGTTGATGAGATAGAGAGTGATGAAGAAGATAGCTATCTCTCAACATCTGACAACGAAGCAAGCAAAGCCAAACATGGTAAAAGGAGACGGACTACGTATAAGGTTTACCAAGAGCCAAGAGATGATGAGACTCTTGACATTAGATTAGGAATGATGTTTATCAACAAGCAACAATTTAGGGATGCTGTGAATAAATGGAACCTCAAGCAGAGGCGAGATATTAAATGGATAAAAAATAACAATATAAGATGCAAGGCATCATGTGTGAAGGCGCCAGATTGTCCATGGCAGATTTATTTGGCAATGGACCAACCAACTGAATCTTGGATGGTAAAGACATTTGTGTCTAAGCATGCATGCCATTGGTTATTAAAGAAGAACAAGTGATGTAGCTCAACAGTAGCTGCAAAGCACTTGGTGAGACACAGAGGGTCTACTGCCTTGTACATGAGGCAAACTGACATTTATAATGTCATTAGGAAAGAGTTAAGTGTTGAGTTATCTGACCATCAATTGAAAAAGGTGAAGGAGAAGATTGGGAAGGCATTTGAGGGTGATTGCAAGATGGAATATGGTAAATTATGGGATTATATTGCAGAGCTTTGATCGAAAGACCCTGTTGCCACCATCATTATTGAGGCATCAAAACCAACTACAAATTTAAATCCTATTTTCTTAAGGATGTACATCTATTTTTCTGCAATGAAGTTGGGATTTGTAGTTGGTTGCAGGCGTGTTATTGGTCTTGATGGTGCCTTCCTTAAAGGAGCATTCAAAGGAGTATTGTTGGTTGTTGTTTCTAGGGATGCAAACAACCAGATGTATCCACTTGCATGGGTAGCCGTGGAAGGTGAAACCATAGAGACCTAGATCTGGTTCCTTAAGGAGTTGTAAAAAGACATGGTGATTGAATTAGGAAGTAATTTCACATTCATTTCTGACCAACAGAAGGTATATTCCATGGTTATGTTATGTTTATGAATCTTTCATTTTTCCCAAATTGGTCCTTGAACTTTAAAGTTCAGGGACCAATTTGGGAAAAATAACTTAGTTGGTAATTATATGCACTAATTGAGAACATGTGATTCTAGGGCCTGATTCATGCAATTGAGGATCTATTTCTAGATGCTGAGCATAGAACATGTGCTAGACACAAATATGCCAACATTCGAAAGAATAATGGAGGCAAAGAATTGAAGGTAGCATTTTGGAGATGTGTTGAGGCTAACACTGAACATGACTTCAACAGGGCATTAACTGAGTTAGGGCGTATTAAACCAAGTGCAATCCCTACCATCATGATCACACGCCCTAGGTTTTGGTCAAAGGCTTTCTTCAAAGAAGATAGTAAATGCAATGTTGTCAATAACAACATGTGCGAGGTTTTTAATGGTTTAATACTGGAAGGAAGCTACAAGGCCATATTCTTTATGCTGGAAGACTTACGGGCAATGTGTGCTTAGAGGACGATGTCTAGGAGGGAATATGGTAACTAGAAATTTGTTGGGAATTTCGGTCCCAAATTTTGGGCAAAAATTGTTGCTACCCGAGAAGGTAGCAAGAGATGCACACTTTTATGGCCTAGTGGTGACGAGTATGAAGTTGATGATAATGGGGAGGCAACTTATATTGTAAATGTAGAGAGAAAGACATGCACTTGTAGGGTTTGGAATATGACTAGAATACCCTATAGGTATGCAGTTACTGTGATTGACCATAGACAACAGAATGATGAGGATTATGTAGTACACTGGTATAGCAAGCAAATGTTCATGGCAAGTTATGAATCTAAAGTCCTAGTCATAGAAGGAATGAACCAATGGAAGGAAATTAAAATGCCACCTATTCAACCACCAAATCCAAGAAAGATGCCTAGCAGGCCAAAGAAGAAACGACAACTAGAAGAATGGGAGGGGAACACATCTGTTGGTAGAAAAGGGAGGTTGATGACTTGTCAAAAATTCTTCAAAAGGGGGCACAACTCAAGGTCATGTAAAGGAGTTCCACCAAACATTGTAAGTTAAATTTGTAATTAATTATTGTCAATTCTCTATGTGTTTTATACATTATTTTTTTCATATGTATGTATTATGTATTTGTAGCGAGAATAAAATGAGGATCAAGCAACTGCCCAAAAAGAGCAGCCTCAAGGTGTTGATGAAAACATTGGAGTTAATGTGGAAAACCCAATGAGCCAAGTGGAGGATCCTTTTAGTCAAGTTTTTAATGAGGCACCTACACCAAAGATATGTAGGCAAACAACAAGAAGAAAACATGAAGTTGTAAGCGTCTAAAGTAATCAATTTTTTATTTTATGGTATGCTAGATGTACTAACAAATGCACATTGATTCTTTAGTGTGAAGGAAGCTCCAAAAATGCACAGTCATGGAAGAGGGCTAAAAAGGACTGTGCAACAACAACCACAGGCCTCTCCCAATCACAGGCAGCAACTACTTCAGTAGTCAAAGATAAAGGGAAACAACCAAAGAAGCCACGACAGCCAAAGAAGAAACCCTGAATGGCTGCAAATGCATCAAAGTGAGATTGATGGAGATTGATTTTTTGGTATTTTGTTAGGTTGAATATGTTGGGGTGAGCATATTTTGTGTGGGGTTGTATTTTGTGTATAACAATTATGGTTGATAAATGTAGTTATTGGTTTAATGTGCAGTCCATAATTGTATTTTTTTCTTAGGTTTTAATTGCAAATTTTGCTTTTTGTTTGTATGTATGAAACTGCATTTATGTAAGGTTTGTAAAGACTGCATCTTGGAATGGTATCCACTTTGTATAAGTGCTTATTTTCTCAAATTTAAATACATTCAGGTACAACATTTATAACAGATTTCAACAGCACAGAATCTTCGATATTATATTAGGTTTTAGGCAAAGAGGCACATTACAATTGGTTCAAACAAAAAGAAAAGCTTTTATAGGCCAATAAACTCACAAGAACTTGGATTCTAGTGCAGCCTTTGTAGGTTAATAAACTAACAAAAACCTGGATTCTAATGCAATCTCTATAGGCCAATAAACAGACCAATAGCAAATACAGCACTTAACATGCAAAACACACACAAAATGATACAAACTTTTTGTGATCTTATGCAAATCTTCTCACTTCTTTTCACTTTCTTCTCCAAATGCTTAATTTTCTTCACTAGTGATTTAGATTCAGCTATTAAGACCCCATTCTCGTGTAGCAAGTTCCCATTTTCCACTAATAAGCCAGCCTTTTCCTTCATCAAATCATCATTTCGCTTTATCAAATCAGCCATTTCCTTCATTAAAGCATTTTTTTCCTTGATCAGATCAGCATTTTCTTTCTTCAACCTTTCATTCTCAGATTGAAATCGAAGCTGCTTATCTTTCAACTTCAGTAATGATCCCTTGCTCTACCCTCAATCACCTTATCACCAGGAATAAAATGGAAGAATTTGCAAGGCTTTCCAGTTTAAACAACACAAAAGTTAAGAAAAAACTTTATGGTTCTAAAATTGCACTAAACTAGATAAATCTGCAACTAAAATTAAAGAACACCAGCCTTACCAGGAAATTTGGACATCCCCAAAACCTTTCCCATGTTCTGGAATGTCAGTGTTGTCCTCAACACAGGTGCTAAACCACACTCGCATTTCGATTATGTTGTTTGACCACCACTAGCACTCGCACTTGCACCATCAAAAATTGAAGGAATGGATATCGATTCAACAACTTCCATTGCCTAAAATTCCTCAAGATCCACTTGAAAGAAGGACAAAATAGTTGATTTC